TTAAATTTAATTAAATTTAATGTCGTTAGCGAATACGAGAGTTGAATATAAAAAAAATTTATTACATCTCCGTAACAATGTAATTATGTGGCGTGATTTCATTTGTCTTTCAAGGCTGGCCATTGTGTGTCAAGTGACGTTAGGTTTTGACCGTGGGGGGGAAAAACTACTTTCTGCTGTCACCCTATCTCTTCCCACCAACCGCTGTTTAAAAGCGCTTCTGAACTCAGAAAGCAGAATCCAAACGCAGAATTAAGGGTATTTTCGTCATTATATATATTTCCCCATTTTCTAAGGTAAGAAGTAAGAACAGGAAAACAAACTAGTTTACCTGTTTGTCCTGCTGCTCGCTCCTCTTTTACATCTCTCTCTCTCTCCTCCGATTCCGCCATGAAAGCACCTTGAAAATCCCTGCAAAACCCCCTCACATTCTCTGAACTCACCCTGTCCTGTGCACTTCTTCTTGCTCTCTGCTGAAGAAATGGGCTCTCTTGTGCCATTTCAAGACTTGAATCTGTCGCCGGAAGTACCCCAAACCGCTGCTTCCGCCACTCCTTCCACCGCCTCCACTCCTTCTCTCTTGATTCCCAAGATCGAGCCCAAACAAGAACCCGTCGATGAATTGCGCCCAATTCAACAAGAACCTTCTCAGGGATACGCTGATTTTGCTTCCAATTCTACCCCTGACTTCCTCAATAATTCTCACCTTTCGCCTCTTCCGCAATCCTCTCCCTCCAACGTGGACCAGGAGAAGCTCTACTCGGAGTTCTTCCGAATCTCCGAGCTTTTCCGCTCCGCCTTTGCCAAGAGTTTGGAGAAGTATGGCGACATCCAGGTTGTTGACCCCGATTCACGCGCTATTGTTCCGGTGCCTGAACAGGTGCCTGAACAAGAGGATGACAGAACCCTCTCCGTTGCCTTTTCGCGTCGCCGGTTTCAAAGATCCGGGGAGCTCGTTCGGGTCACAAATTTGGGTATCGAAGATATGCGACATTTCCGGGGCGATGTGCGGAGGGCCCGCAGGCTCTACGATTCACTCCGCATTCTCGCTGCGGTGGAGGAGGAGAAGCGTAACCCAGGCACTGGAAGACGGGCACGAGGTGATTTGAGAGCGGCTGCAGTGATGAGGGATCGAGGGTTGTGGCTACATCGTGATAAAAGGATTGTGGGGTCAATTCCTGGACTGGAAGTTGGGGACCTGTTCTTTTTCAGAATGGAGTTGTGCGTGCTTGGAATACATGGGCAACCTCAGGCTGGGATTGACTATGTTACGGCTAGCCATAGCTCCAATGGAGAACCAATTGCAACTAGCATTATTGTTTCGGGTGGGTATGAGGATGATCAGGATGCAGGTGACCTGCTTATCTACACTGGTCATGGGGGGCAGGACAAATTTTCAAGGCAATGCATGCACCAAAAGCTGGAAGGTGGGAATCTTGCGTTGGAGAGGAGCATGCAGTATGGAATTGAGATAAGAGTGATTAGGGGAATCAGGTATGAAAATAGTGTCAGTAGTAAGCTTTATGTTTACGATGGCTTGTATAGGATTCTTGATTGTTGGTTTGATGTGGGAAAGTCTGGTTTTGGGGTTTTTAAGTATAAGCTGTTGAGAATGGAGGGGCAACCGGAGATGGGCAGTGCGGTGCTAAAGTTTGCTGAGACTCTCAGGAGAGGGCCGTTGCAAGCGAGACCAGTAGGTTATCTGAGTCTTGATATATCAATGAACAAGGAGAGTCTTCCTGTTTTGCTTTATAATGATCTTGACAGTAATCATGATCCATTGTACTATGAGTATATTGTAAGGACTGTGTTTCCTCCATTTGTCTTTAGCCAGGCCAGTAATGGTGCTGGATGTACTTGTGTTTCAGGGTGCACTGAAGGTTGTTTTTGTGCTATGAAGAATGGTGGTGAGTTTGCCTATGATTATAATGGCCTTCTTGTGAGAGGGAAGCCGGTAATATTTGAATGTGGAACATTCTGTCAGTGTCCACTGACTTGCCGTAATCGTGTTGCTCAAAGAGGACTGAGAAATAGAATGGAAGTGTTTAGGTCAAGGGAAACGGGTTGGGGAGTAAGGTCCTTGGACTTGATACAAGCTGGTGCTTTTATATGCGAGTATGCAGGAGTTGTTCTAACCAGGGAGCAAGCAGAGGTTTTCTCGATGGATGGTGATACATTGATTTATCCTGGTCGCTTTTCTGGTAGATGGACAGAATGGGGGGATTTGTCTCAAGTATTTCCTGAGTATGTGCGTCCTTCATATCCCTCAATTCCACCTTTGGATTTTGCTATGGATGTATCCAGAATGAGGAATGTTGCTTGTTATATGAGCCATAGTTCTACTCCAAATGTGCTGCTGCAGTTTGTTTTATATGATCACAACAACTTGATGTTCCCTCATCTTATGCTTTTTGCAATAGAAACTATCCCTCCCCTGAGGGAGCTTAGCCTCGACTATGGTGTAGCTGATGAAGGCACTGGGAAGCTCTTTATTTGTAATAACTAACTAAATAATCTTAAAGAGTTTTTTCTTGTCTGGTCCAGCGAAGTGTGATGGACGTGGTACCTGAGGTAATCTTAATTTCTTCTGACCACAGTTGATCTCATGTTTAGATTCTCACCACAGTCAATCTCATGTTTAGATTCTCACCACAGT